AAAGTTTATCCCTATCTTCCTTCAGTTCTTTGGTTTCTTTTTGTATCTTAAAATTCACTGAATTCTTTTATCATATTTATAATTATTCTTTTGAGTTCCATATCATGCATCGTCTCTAGGGGGTTCTCATTGTACTCCTCTAGAGGACTATTGGTATTTGGTGGGGATGTGTTATTTTGGTTTTTCCTGTTATTATTTTTTTCTCTGTGATTTTGACATGTGAATTTCTTTTGTAGTTTCTGATTCTTGTGTGAGACTCAAGCATCCAAGTTTAGGTCTGTTTCTTTTTGTGAACTTTATGTGTCTCTGTGGTTTATTTTTCTGCTTGAAAGGCTGGTTCTTCTAAGCTTCCAGTTCTCTCTTTTGTTTTATATTGGAGTAGCCAGATTGCTTTTGTCTTCAGGAGTTCCCACCGAGGCCTAAGTCAGATGAGGATCAGATGCTCTCAGGCTTCCTCCTAAGGTCAGGATCCCTCCAGGATAGATTTTGGCCTCAGGAGTTTGGGGGTTTGACAACCTGGGAGCCACGCCCAGGAAAGATGCTGGTCTAGGGAAGCTGGCTGCCATGCCACCCAGAGATGCAAAGGAAGATGGGGGTGGGAGGCAGTCCAAGGGCCCCTGGGGACTGCACTGAGGAGCTGGGTTGGTCTGGAGGCAAAGGACCAGGAAGAGGAAAGTTCAGCCCCAGCATCCAGGAAAGAGGCTGAAGGGCTGTGCAGACCCAGGGAGGCAGGAGGTGAGGGCAGGGCCAGGCCCAGAGCCCCCCTGGGGACCCGAGAAGGAACTCAGTTGTTCTGGATGCACAGGATCAGGAAGCAGTGGTGGTTCCCCAGGTGTCTGGGGCACCAAGACAAGGAATGGGATGGGACCCAGGCTAGGAGGACAGACTGGCAGGGGAGATGGGAGGATGAGTGAGGCTGGGGGAGTCAAGGCATGGAGGGCAGGATAGACTTACCCCAGAAAGAGAGGCTTGTGGGTCAGAGAGAGCATATGCAAACATATTTGTCAGTCACAGACTTCAGAATACATTTCCCGGCTATTGGTGGCTGTGGCAGGAGGGAAAACCTTACTGTGGGCTAACAAGAACCAGCTTAATTGATCAGGTACCACCCATGCTGGACTGGGTCAACCCACATCAGTCAATAATGAAGAAAATGCCTCTCAGACATGCCCACAGACCAGTCTGATAGAGGAAATTCCCCAATTGAGGTTCCCTCTCCCCTATTGTGTCAAGTTGTCAACAGAAACCACCAATGACAGCTGAGGCCTACAGAAAATAATCATCCAGCTTCTGCTAAGTGTATAGTAAGAAGAAGAAATCACAAATATACAAGGCTTACAGCTAAAGTAATGTCCTATAGTCACGCCTCTGACTCTACATTACAGTTATCATTTTAACACAGCTTCATTTCTAAATTCTTCACAGAGTTGAGCAAAACCAACTGCTTGTTACATAATTTAATAACAACTCAAAAGTGAAGTGGAATCAGACAATGGAAAACAATATATCAGGATGTGGTGAGAACCTGAAATTGCACTCCAAGTACCTGAAACCTCCTGAAGGCAAACCTGCCACACTAATGCTATCCTCAGGCCAACAGGTCACTTGCTGACACATACCCATAGGTCAATTCAATGTCTTCACACCTGATTTAATTTATGACACTCTAGATATTGGGTATTTTGTTACCTTTACCAAGATATAGCTTTAAATAAAATATTAAGGGTTGTAAGTTAGCTATTTATTGTATGGCAAACATTAAATATTTGTCTGTCTTGCAAATAACTATGTTCTAGTGACAAAGGAGAATCACAGCAGACATGAATACACCAAGCACCTAGAGCCACTCTTGTCCCCAGAATGCTCTACTTGTGTAATTATAAAAATGATCCATAATAAACCCTCACTTCAAATCCCACCTGCTATCCAAAGACATTTTATAAAGGCACTTCTGAAAGTCACCTGTGCCACTCCATTTCTGCTATGCCACTCACCTGGACAGGTACCTGTATTTACTCACAAGTAAATGAAACATGAAGTGACACAGAGCTTAAATCCCAGCAGTCCTGCCATTTCCTGAGTTGGCAGTGTTTTAGGTGGATTGGAACAATTGCATGCTCAGAGAAAAACAAAATTATGGAATATGAATGTTTAAAGCAAATGGGTCTGTGTGAACACAGCTGTGCATATGTAACTTAATTCTCAAAGTCTCTATCAGAGCATGGTTTCCTCTGATGTCTTCTTATGAAGAGGTGTTTCTGCAGGGAAAATCTACAAAGCAGCTTTAGGAGGGGCACACAGGTGATGCTGCCTAAATATCAGTGACTAGTCTCTTACGATGTTTACCAATTACTGTTAAAGTTTGAATATGAAATGTCACACAGGCTCATGTTTGGTCCCTCCTGTGGTGGTGCTATTTGGGGGAGGTTGTAGGAACCCTGGAAGGAAGAGCCGACTTAGAGGAAGCAGGTGATTGGCCATAGGCTGTATTTCGCCCTAGTCCCTTCCTGTACTACTCTACTTCCTGTCCACCATGATGTGAGCTGTTCTGCCACCCCCTTCCCATCATGATGAGCTTATCCCTTTGAAACCATGAGCCAAAATAAATAATTCCTCTTTGGTTCTCAGTTATTTTGGTCACCGTGACACAAAAGTAACTTAATATAGTTACATATAATGAAACCTTTTTAAAGGATTGGTTTAATTTTTATTTTTGTCTCTGTGTGTTTGGGTGCACCTGTGACGTTGCCCATGGAAGCCAGAAGAGGGCGCTGAAGCTGGAGTTAGAGGCAGTTGTGAGCCCCTTGACCTGTGCATAGTACACAACTGTTAACCACTGAGCCAGCTCTCCAGTTCCCCAAGAAACTTTTGTAAGTTACATTCAGCAAAATATCCTTGGCAAAGAACAGAACATCAATGCATGTTTGAGGGGGCAACTGGACATATTTATGCACTATAAGGCAACAGCTGGCCTTGGGTAGCTTAATTTTATTTTATGTATATGAGTGCTATGCCTGCATGTATGTAAGTGCATCAGTGTCATACAGTGCCTATGGAGGACAGGAGATGGCATTGGTTTCTCTGGAACTGGAGTCATGGATGGTTGTCAGCTGCCATGTGGGTACTGGGATATGAACCCTCGTCTTCTTCAAGAATAGCCAGTGCTCTTAACCACTGAGCAATCTCTCCAGTTCTGACCTTGGGTAGTTTAAAGAGGACTCTAAATCTACTCCAATCAGACCTTTCTGGAAAAAAAAATCTTTACTTACTAATATCACATTATTGTTGCCAAGAAATGAATAGTTACTTCATGACTTTTTGTTGCACAAAAAAAGGACAAAAGAAAGAAAAAGAAAAAAAAAGGATGAAAGAAGGGATGGGTTCACTGCAACTTCATTGTATGCTGTGAACAAGGCATAAGCAAGGAGGATGTGTGGAACCCCCTTGGTCACCCGTCGAAGCTGGCATGGTGCATAGTTCCTGTTTTTGCATAGTTCTGGGCATTTCAAGATACTGTGTAATTCAAATCCAGTGCCACTTGATGCCAACAGCCACTAGCAGTCACAAATACTCTTTGGAGCTAGCTTCCACCACCAGCTGAGTCATGTGGTCACAGCTTTGCAACACAGCACCTAGACACTGCACAAAGGCACATACAATGTTTTCACTATCCACCAACATTAATGCTGGAAGGGTAAAAGCTTAGGTCAGAAAATCTTTTTCCAGGGCATAGATGGCTGGTTGGCATGCCACGCTCTTCACTCTACACAGGGGCACGGTGCAGTCGTTGCTCTGACCTTCCACGTCAATGTCCAGGAAGGAAAGTCCCTGGTATCTGCTTCTCTCCTGAGTGCCAAGGAAACTGGCAGAGGCTGGTGTTGCATGGTCCATGTCACGTGCCCAGGCAGGCAGGGATGCTGTCCTCAGTGAGACGGCTTGTGGGCTTTGTGGGGAGACAGCGCATGCGTGATGCTCAGTCCAGACACCTTGGGCTTGCTGAGGAGAGTCCTGGCTTGCCAGGTCACTTTGAGGACCAGGTGAGGCAGAGTGTGGTGGCCTGGAGGCTCTAAGGGCACCTGTGGGTAAAGAAAGCCAAGCAGAGGGTATGTAGTGAAAACAGACTTGTGAAGGGAGTGTTGAGAAAAATGATAACCACAGTTCCACAAGGTGACCAAGTTCAACAACATAATTACACAATCCTTTCACAATCACTAGGGCTATGATTTCCTTAGTGAAAAGTGCCACAACACTAGAAGGGGCATTTCACCCTGTGAAAGTCTCTCAGCCATTTCAAGCACCTGGGATAACAGCACGAGCCACCGTACCAGCTGAAACAGATTCTTCATAGGCATTCAGTGAATACTCATAAAGGTATATGAAGTTGCTGTAATTATCTTCATATAGAAAAGAAATAACAGTCAACGCATAGCAGAATCTGTGCCATTTGATTTTTCACCTAATTCTAGCAATAGTAGGGATGACATAAGCACATTATTTTATGCACAAAAAAATAAGGCATAAAATATTTAAATGATGGGGCTGGAGAGATGATTCAGAAGTTAAGAGCACTTGCTGCTCTTGCAGAGGACCTGGGTTTAGTGCCCAGCAACCACATGGTGACTAACAACTGTCCATAATTCCAGTTCCAGGGGATCCAATGCCCTCTTCTGGCCTCTATGGACATGCACAGGCGCACTCATGCCCATAAACTAAATAAAAAAAAATTTAAACCATTTAAGGGAAGTGCCCAAGGTCACACACTGCAAACCTGACCCAAGCTTCCATACAATTAACTGTGAAGTACACTGACCCTTGTGTATGTACATGTGTGCGTGCGTGCGTGCGTGCGAGTGCACATGCATGCAGGCCAGAGGTCAACCTTAGGTGTTGTCCACCTTATTTTTAGAGAAGGATTCTCTCACTGGCTTGGTACTCATTCACTCTGCTAGACTGGCTAGCCACCAAGCCCCAGGTGTCCTCCTGCCTGTCTCCTCAGACCTGTGATTACAAGTGTGTACCATTGTGCTCAGCTTTTAAACATGGGTTCTGGGGATGAAACTCAGGTCCTAACATTTGTTCCGCAAGCACTTTACTCATTAGATCATCTCCCCAGTACTGGAGATGGGGGTCTTTATAGGTAGTTAAACTAAAACAAAGTCATATGGGTGGACCCTAGCCCAGTATGATCAGAGTTCCCTTATAAGAGATTCAGACACAGACATACCCAGAGGAACCACTATGTCAAGACACAGGGAGATGGTGTCTACAAGCCCAGAGGCAAGGTCTCAGGAGGAACCAGCCTTGTCCAGCCTTTTATTTACCTTGGATGTCCACTCCAAAACCCTGAAGAAATAAAGACTGTCCTTCTGGACCCTCAGGCTGTGGCTTAATTACACAGCCCAAACACACCAAGATGATGTTAATTTGTCCTAACACAAACACAGCATGTAACCTATGACCCTGAGACAGTATCTGGAGGGAAGCCTGGAGTTAGTTTTTGGTTAGGGTTAGAGGGTCAGTTAGGGTTAGAGAGTTAGGATTAAGGTTTCATGTTTAGTATTATTGTTTAGGGTTTAGGGTTATGGTTTAGTGTTTGGTGATTATGGTTTAGGGTTAAAGTTAGGGTTTAGGGTTAGCGGTTTAGGGTTAGTGTTAGATGGCTAGGGTTAGTGGTTTAGGGTTAGTGTTAGATGGTTAGGGTTCAGGACTAGGGTCAGCTCCCACTGTTTATTTGCTGGGGTTTGGGCATATGATTCATCTTCTCTGGAGCCAGGGTGGACCTGGTCATTCTCCACATTTCTCCTTAAATGGCATTATATACCAAAGTTATTGAAATATAAAGAATCCTCTTCCCAGAATATAAATTACAGCAATATTAAAATCAAATCAAAGTTATTAAATGAAACAATTAGGGAAAGGTAAAATTGCATGGCCATACTACACCCACCCTGTCCTCTACAACTCCACCATTGCCTTTACACAGCTGTTGCCACCTACTTAGAGACTTGAAAGGAGTTTGGTCTGACATCATCCACCTCTGATGCGATGCTCTCTCTCCTGAGTTGGCACAGACAGGGAGAGTCTCATCTGACTGTCCCAGGAGGGCAGGGGATGGGCTCCTTAACACACCATGTTCAGTCTCAAGTCTTTGCACAGGGATAGGCTGGCAGCTGCTTTCTAGGTCTGCAGAACAGTACTCTGGAGTGAGTGTTGTGGGGTCACAAGAGATCTGAGTGTTTTCTGTGTGTGGTTTGTCTTTATCTATCTGTACTGAACACCCCGTGGAAAGAGAAGGCTTCAAGAAAAGGCTTGCGGTACTTGGCATTGGGAGAGAAGGCAAACCACTGGGTGTTCTGCCTACAGCTGGCTGCCTCAGGGATGGACTGGTACTTTCTCGGGACCTGGAGGACCACTGGAGGGCGTCTTCTTCCTCCTTTTCCTCTTTGGGTGATAGTTCTTCAGGGGCCTGGGATCCATGTAGCTCCCTGAAGTCTAGGCCCAAAGTCACCGAAGCCAACAGCATCGCACAGTCATACAGTGCTGACTCTGTTTTCTTCCTCAGCATGGGTGCAGTCAAGCTATTTGCTGGGGTCCCCCGAGGGGAGCCTGGAGAGGGTGCCTCTTCTTGGACATCAGTCTCTACTAGGTTCTCTTTCTGACTGTCTTTGCAAAGAGGTAGACCAACAAAGGCCTGGCCAGGGAACCTCATTTGCTTTGGTTTTCTATGTTCCAATCCATCGGGGACAAGTTTTGGCTCCTCACAAGACCCTATAAAGGCATAAATGGAAACATTGAAGTCCCATTATATAGTAAATATCATCATTTAAACTGTGTGCAAAACATACTTGATTCCCATGAATAACCATTCTAAATCAAAACACATGGACTCCTTTCAGATAGGCAAATTCCTTGTCTGGGAACAATCTGAGGAAATCTCCAGAGCCCTAGGATTCAAGTATCCACAGGTGAGCCTGCATGGAAGTCACCTGCGGCTTCCTATTCTTCAGGAAAGAGCGCCTATTCAGCAGTGATAATAGAAACCAGTGTGAATAAAAGCATCAGGATACAAATACTCAAACACACACACACACATATGCACACACATGAAGTGTGTTGCACAAACTGTGCACATTCCTTTGCTTCCTCTAAGTGCATAGACCTCTGTCCACAGTTCACCTTGTATGCAAGACTGCTACATAGCAGCTCAAAGGTTCTCAGGTGTATCATCCAAACTAGGGGCAACCAGTGGAACGTAAATAATGATGCAAATCTCTGGCCCACCAAACATGAAATCAAAAGTTTTGAGGTGGAATCAGCAAGTTGTGTTGTGACAGACCTGTCCCAGTGCAATAGAGGGTGATTCTCCTAAGAGGCTGGAGAGCCATGGAGGTTACCAAGTGCACTAGCTAAGGAGGAAGGCGAAGTTCTTACCCTGTATCCACTAGGCCAAGAAACCTCCTTAGGCTGGGTTCCAAAGTAATCCACAATAGAACTGCTGCAGTTTCCAGCATGGGCTCATCTGACACCTATGCACGCTCATCCAGACAGCTGCTCTCACCCAGATAGCCACTCTTATCCGAACAGCTCCTCTCAATTAGACGACGGTTGCTCTCATGTGGACAACAGTCACTCTCATCTGGACAATAGTCACTCATTTGGACAACAGTCACTATTATCTAGAAAACAACCGCTTTTATCTGGACAGCAGTACTCTCATCCAAATGACAGTCACCCTCATGTGAACAGCAGTCTCTTATCTGGACAACAGTCACCCTCATCTAAACAACAGTCACTCTCATCTAGACAACAGTCACCCCTGTCTAGACAACAGTCACCCTCATGTGAACAGCAGTCACTCTCATCTAGACAACAGTCACCCCTATCTAGACAACAGTCACCCTCATGTGAACAGCAGTCACTCTTATCTAGGCAATAGTCACTCATCTAGACAACAGTCACCCTCATGTGAACAACAGTTGCTCTCATCTAGATAGTCACCTTCATGTGAACAACAGTCACTATTATCTAGACAACAGCCACTTTCATCTGGACAGCAGTGGCTCTCATCTAGACCATAGTCACCCTCGTGTGAACAGCAGTCTCTTATCTGGACAATAGTTGTTCTCCAGGCAGCTGCTGTCATTTAGATAACTGCTGCTTTCACCTGTACAGTCCCCCTCATCTAGATAGTGAATGGGACACTGGTTTCTCTCCACGCAAATCTATGTTCCCATGGGCATCTCTGTTCTAGCAGCCCCTTTTCCTCCACTGACTCCCTCCCCACTGTGCAGTGTTTCCTGCTCAGTAATGGGGTCCCTCCAGGAGGAAGGGAACAAGACAACCATACCAGCACCCAAAATATGCTCAAGACACTTGCATTGTGTTTTGTTAAAACACCTTCAATTTTATCACAGTATACAAAGGTTGCCTTAACTGTGAAGGCATGAAGACCAATTCCTTTTGCTAATAACCTTCCTTGAAGTATTTTAGTAATTTCACCTCAACTCGTGCTAATAACTCAAAATATAGCTACAGCCCATCTTTAATCCTGCAGAACTTTTCAGGGAGCTTGCATTTTCATACTGCCAACTCCTATACTCAAGTTTTTTAGTTCTATATAATTAAGCAGGACACAAATTTATCTGGTAAAGATCTGGAGCCATAAATTACATCCCCTCTAATTACTTAGACTGGATGTAAAATAATCCTTGGGCTTAAGTAAAGTTAGAACTTGCTTCTGTCCCTTGTGGAACTTTAAAAGTCATGTGAGATGATGCAGAGCCCTCAGGAGCTAAGAACACACTAGAACTTTCTGCTTCCTGAAAGTTACCTGTCTGGTCCACAAACAATGAAGTCAAAGGTGTGGTCTTCTGACTTTTCATTAATACAGATGACCAAGGGCTGTTCCCATCTGAGAGAGGCCTGACCCTACGAGAGAAACATGTATGTATTCATATAACAGAACTGCACACAAAGCCAGTATATACAGATTAGTAATATTTTTTTGGTATGTATGTCTGTGTTGTATGTGTATATATGCATGGTTGCCTGAATGTAGGCATGTGTGTTTGTACATGCATGTGAGTGCATCTGTACCTGTGAGCACATGCATGTGGAAGCCAGAGAGGATGAGGTGTCTTCCTGTACTGTGCCTCATTTTTATTATATTGAGGCAAGGTAGCTCACTGAACTAGAGCTCATCTATTCTGGCTAACGCAGCTAGTCAGCTTGCCCTAGGGAATCACATCTCTGCTTCTTGAGGTGCTGGGATTACAGGCAGCCTCCGCAACTGCCCAGCTTTTCTGTGGGTGCTGGGGTTCCCAACTCCAATCCTCATGTTTGCAAAAGGCACTTTATCCACCCAGCCATCTCCTCAGCCTAATACCAGTATTTTTAAATGGATCATATGTTTGTGCTTTTGAGTTTTGAAGAACTAATGGTACAAATAAAATCTTAGAATGAGATCTAAAGATGTCAAATTCTTTCCTGAACTAAATCATTTCATAAAGTCAGTACAATAAACTAGCCCTAGGAAATTAACTTAGGATGTCTCTGCATTAATCCGCTTCCCACCAGTCAGCTGTGGTGCACGGCTACGTGCCTAATGCTGTCACCAGCACAGTGAGAGGCAGACACCACCCCCTACACCCACCGCTCTTGCCTGGCAACTCTTTCTTTCACTTGAATGGAGTTTGGTCCCCACGTACAACCTTTTTTCTTGAAATTGCTTTTCACATCTTCAAAGTCTTCTTGTCGAAAGATCACATTTCTTCCCCAAGTTTTATTGCTTTCATCTGAAGTCACTAAACAGAGAAAACCATTGTTACATACTGAGTTTTCTAAAAAGCTACCAGAGTCCAGTCCAGCCTAAGACTTTGTGAGGCTTGAGACAGAAGAACAGTGATGAATGACTCATTTTACCCATTTAGGAAAACTGCTTTTTTTTACTTATAAAAAAAGTATGGGAAGTATACAGATAGGAGAGCCCTTGGAAGTTCATGAGCAAAGGAACTGGTTGCCCAGGAGAGGAAAAACGTCCCTGTCCTAAACGATAAAGAAGGTGAGGAGCAATACCTGAGGTTGTCTAACTTCCACACACTGGGGCACAAGCATGCCCAAACGCACGCACGCACACACGCACGCACACACAGCTTTTCTTAAAAAAACAATACTACAAGCCAGGCATGGTGACATGCCTTTAATTCCACCCAGCACTCAAGAAGCAGAGGAAGGTGGATCTCTGCGTGACTGAGGCCAGCCTGGTCTACCTAGTGAGTTCTAGGCCAGCTGTGGCTACAGGGAGACCCTATCTCAAAAGGACCAAAAACAAAATAAAATTAAAAACCATAAATACACCATACGTTCCCCTTCAAAATGATGTGACTAGAGTCAGGCGTGGTGGTGCACACCTTTAATCCCAGCACTTGGGAGACAGAGGCAAGTGGATTTATGTGAGTTTGAGGTCAGGCTGGTCTACACAGTGAGTTTCAGGCCAGCTAGGGGTACATAGTGAGACCCTATCTCAAAACAAAAGGGAAAAAAACTATGTGACTAGGGCTGGCGAGGTAGCTCAGCACTTGCCATCAAACCTGATGACCTGAGTTTGATCCCCAGCACTTACTTACATGGTAGAAGGAGAGAATAGATGCCTGCAAGTGTCCTCTGATCTCTAAACCATCTCTCTCTCTCTCTCTCTCTCTCCATATATATATACATACATATACATATATATAAAATGTAAAATAAATTTTAAAACCATGTGACTATGTATGTGTACATCTAGAGGGAAAGTGATGAAGATGGAAGTCAGATGTTCATTTAAGTATTTGTCTTTCAGAAAGAGGAGTATGCAAACAGGAAAACAACTTCTTTATCTTGTTTTTAAAGTGCTAGAAGAATGTTCAAATCCTTTGTTTCTTTGCTGGGGTTAAACCCGAGGCCTTGTGCATCTAGGCAAGTGTTATACCATTGAACTACACCCTGTCACTGCAGTAGAAGGGGTTGCTGTCTGATGTGATGGTGTCTGAGATGTTCCTGGCTCCAGGTCCCCATTGCATAGACAATGACTCATTTGTGGCCACGAGTGTGAGAAAACTCTCCTATGAGCCCAAGACCAACTTTTTTGTTTTCCCATTTCTTTGAGGCAGGGTCTGATGTAGTCCAGCCTGGTAGTTCAGTCTAGTCTTGAACTTGCTAGGCTGGCCTTGATTCCCCTGTCTTTACCTCCCAAGTGCTGGGATTTTAGGCCTGTGCCACCCAGGCCCAAGACCAACTTTTATTTCCAATCTTTGCTGCACCTGCTCACAGTCTCCCACTCAGACTCCCTGTAAAGCACATCTTCTCTGTTTGAATCCAAGGCAACGGAATAAAAGAAATGAAGAGAGCCCACTATGAGGTGTTAGGGAAGCTCACACTGAATAGCTCGGAGACGGGGTAGCATTGCAGGGCTGCCAGGTGGGCTGCACAGCCTGCTGTCTGGGCTCCGGCGCTTGTCCAGGCTTGGGGAGGCCTGCACTGTGATCTTATGCTGGAAATCTGTGGAACATGGGAAAAAGGGAGAACAGACTTTTCAGGGATTTATGTTCTTTTCATGACTGTAGCTTTTACATAGTCATAAAATGCAGGGTTACCAGACAGTGACTATTTCAGTCTCATGGGGCTAATTTCAGAGCCTGTTCTCAGCATGGCTCTGTGTCTCTCTCCAATTAAATGATCAAGTCAACAGACGAGGACTCAGTTGTATTCTATTAGTCACAAGGAGGCATGTGAGTGCAGAGAAGAGGAAAGACTCCAGAAGCTCTGTAGAACTCCCAAGAAGGGTTATCTGTGCTTAACTGGAGGGAGTTAAACATAACAATGAAGTAAGAGGCCCTAGATTTAAAGGACTCCTAGGTCTGTCACTCACAAGCCTTTCAGTCAGTAAGGAACTGCTCTGAGCCTCTCCTATCACCAGTTAAATGGAAAATACTATTTCTCAAAGCCATTGTGATAAGACAGAAAATGCATGCTAAAAATATTATGGCTTAGTGGTTAAGAGCAGCTACTGCTTTTAGAGGACCCACGTTCAGTTCTCAGTACCACGCCAGTTGACTCCGAACCCCCTATACCTCCAGCTCCAGAGAATCTGACATCCTCTTTCTGGCTTCCACAGGTAACGCACATATACACATACACGCAATATATAATTTTCAAAATCTTTAAAAAATATTGTGCCAGGCATGGTGGTGCATGCCTTTAATCCCAGCACTCTGGGGGCAGAGGCAGGCAGATCTCTGTGATTTGAAGTCCAGTCCAGTTTACATAGTAAATTCTAGGCCAGCTGGGGGTACAGGGAGACCCTGTCTCAAAAAGACAAAAAAATTGTGAACTAGGGAAAAACTCTGTCAATAAAGTACTTTCTGTGTATGCATGAGAACCTGAGTTGATCCCCACAACCCACATAAAAAAGCCAGTTGTGGTGGTGTGTACCTATAATCCCAGTGCTGGGGAGGCAGAGACAAGAAGATCCCTGAGGCTCACTGGCTGGTCAGCCCAGTCTCCAGGCCAGTGAGAGAGCCTATGTCAAGAAAACATGGTGAATGGTGCTCAAGGAACAACGCCTGAAGTTGTCCTCTGACCTCCACATGGATGCCCCGCCCTCCGACACACACACTTTGTGGCCTGTGTACTTCATGCCTGGGAACCATTGGCACCTAACTAGAACATGGTGGAGATGAGCCAGGGACAGTGAGGCAGGAAGGGATACTGCTGGAGTCACAAGCTCTGTGGAGAGACTAAATCCTCAGAAATATCAGAAATTTGAATACAGGTAAAAGGAGCAGTTGAGTTTCCTTCAGTGGACTGAATGTCCATGGACTGTCTTTCTACTTAGGCTATTTTTATAACTCGTACAGTAAGGGCAAAGGCTCATTCGTAGATCCTGTTTGGTGGTGATGCCAATAATCCCTAGAGTTATGACTTACTGCCACATTGGGTGTTAAGCAAGTTTCATGTAACTCAGTCCAGATGATCCCTTACTATATTTCCTGTAAGACTTGGCTTCTCAAATTCCCACCTGAACCAGTTTTATATAGTTCTTCATCAAAAAACATTAAGATCTTTGAGATGTGTTCATTTCACATATGCAAGAGAATTATAATTTGCCTTTTTGGAAATTATATTTTCCAAACACTTTAATGAAACCCTGGTATTTTAGAGGAAGAGGAGCCAGAATTTGGTGGGCTAATAATACAATGAAATATATTACTTTGTATGCTAACTTAAAGAATTCAATAAATAAATAAGAGTTGGAGAGATGGTTCAGTGGTTAAGAATGCATACTGTTCTTGCTGAAGACCCTAGTTTGGTTCTGAGCACCCATGTTGGGTGACTCATAACCACCTGTAACTCCAGCTCCAGGGGAATCCACCATCTCTGGTCTCTGTGGGCATCCACACATATGCACAAACCCACAGAGAGACACACATGCGTAATTAAAAATATAAATAAAAGCCCAACTTAGCTTGAGTTCCCCTCTGACTTTAACCTGCCTAGGTCTTCCCACCTCACTAAAAACAAAATGAAATTTGGAAGACAGGATGTCTCTATGGTTTTTCATGCTGGAAATCTGGAAACTGCTCCCACCCCTTACATACTGTGGTGACTGCTGAGAAGGACATCTCAAGTGAGAGATTTCCTAGTCAGGTGGTCTATAAGCATATCCATAAGGAATTTTCTTAGTTGCATTCATGAGATGGGAAGATCAACTCTGAAGGTGGCTGGCATCATTTCATGGGTGGGGCATTGTATAAGAGAGGAGAAAGTAAGCTGAACACAAGCACATGTGCATTCTTTCTCTCTCTGCTCCTGACTGGATGTGACTAGCTGTTTCGAGTTCCTACCACCGTGCCTTCCCCACAGTGATGTACTGTAACCTGGAATTGTGAGCCAAATAAATCTTTTCACCTTTACAGTTGCTTTTGTCAGGGTTTTTAATCACAGCAACAGAAACAAGACTAGAACATGAATCAGAATGCATTCTGTAACTGTAATCTGTGTGTTCCTCTTATGGAAGAGACACTGGTATCCTGGGTTTTAGACTTAGCCAAGTTGAATGTGAATATCTTTTCTACCATTTTCTAGTCACATGAATTTGAGGAAACCACTTCTCTAAGTCTCACAATATTCATTTACAAACATGGGAACATTATTCCCAGTCCCCAGGTCTGCTGTGAGAATGTAAACACAGACTACTCCAAAGTACTTAGCAGAGTCTCAGAACATACCACATGCTCCTGAACACTGGTGAGTCTATGTTTAGCCTGTGCTTGGTGTCGCCATCACTTCCCACCTGTACCGCTACAATCCTTTTCCCATATCTGTCTGTGGCCCCTGAGGCCACCTTGCAGATGCTAGAAACACCTTTGAAAATGCAGACTGCCCATGGCAGGTGCCCCATCTGAAATCCTCAAGATTCCTGGTTACATTTCAAATTGACCTCAAGCCATAGAAGCTCCTGTCTGCCTGAGACTGAGCCTGTCTCATCACCCCAGTCTCCTTTTGCTCCAGCCACCCCTTGCCTGCCACCTCCACACCAGTGATGCAGCCCCCATTTAAGCTCTGTGAATCATAATGTCTTGACTGCAGTGGCCCAACCTTGCTACATAGCCAAAGGATTGCTGCATGTTTGAGGCCAACCTGGGCTACATAATGAATTCCAGGTCAGCTTGAGCCATAGAGAAAGACCCTGTCTCAAAAAATAGTAATAAGTGGGGCTGGAGGGATGGCTCGATGGTTAAGAGCACTGGATGCTCTTGCAGAGGATCCAAGTTCAAGTCCCAACATCCACATGGTAGCTAACAACCATCCACAACTCCAGTTCCAGGGGATCCAACACCCTCTCCTGACCTCTGTGGGTACTGCATGACATGGGTGCACTTATTTATATGCATGTAGGCAATACACTCATACACACGAAATAAAAATAATAAAATATTTTTAAAAATAGTAATAAGTAATAATAATAATAATAATGATAGCAAAGGTTCATCAACAGACATTCTGTGAACTGATGGGAATCAGTGTTCTAAGCTGACCCACTTGTAGAGACGTCTATGCTTCTATGCTTGGAAGGCCAAGATGAAGTATTTTGGGGAAGGTCATGCATCATTCACAAAGTGCGAGTCTCACGGGAACAGTCGCTCTTTCCCACCACAGGGCTATCTTGCAAGTCCTGCGAAGGTAGGGACCTGCTCTCCCTCTTATCTTCAGACATGTAGGCAGCCAGTCTTCAAAGGCTTTGGGTCCCTCTGATATAGAAGAACTTAGAACACACTGCTTCAGAGATACTCCAATCACTGAGGCTTGAAACCTCTTTGCTCAGTGTCCTAGTTTGCTTTCTGTTGCTGTGATAAGCACCATGACCAAAGACAACTTGGGGAGGAAAGGATTTGTTTCAACTTATACTTCCAGGTAACAGGTCATCACTGAGAGAAGCCAAGGCAGAAACTGAATCAGAAGACTGTGGAGGAACCCTCTTACTGGTTTGCCTACCCCGGCTTGCTCAGCTACCTCTACTATGTAGCTCAGGCCCACCTGCCTAAGACTAGTATTGCCCACAGTTGGCTGGGCCTTACCACATCAGTTAGCAATCAATGCTCCACAGACGTGCCCACAGGCCAGTCTGTTGGAGGTTATTCTTCCCTTGAAGTTCCCTCTTCCAGGTGTGTCAAACTGACAGCCAAGATTAGCCATCAACTTTGCTTTCATATATCCTCAAAACACAATTTAACTTTGAAAGAAGCACAACACAAAGGGATTTCAAGTTCACAGCATCAAAACTTCTGTTACATACTTTCTCCTAAAATTCTGAAAAATGCTAAAAATATTAAACATGTTCACCAAGAAGAATCTGAAATTTAGTTCTCACTCAGGGAAGCATACTGAAAAAGAAGTTCAAGAAATTTGTCCCGGAAACTCTCCAAAGGGAAAGCCACACCCCTCAGTGACTCTTCCTGAATCTCAGGGGTCACTTAAAAAGCACTGGATTCCACAGCTCAAAGTACTTTCTCTCAGGTGATAATGCCAGGCGCAGCTAATTCTATGGAAAACAAGGCATAAATGATTGCTATTTCTTCTGTAGTAAGGTCTGTCCTGCTGGAACTTGCACAGGAGTGTGCACATGCATGTGGGTAAATGTTCATACACACAAGAATACATATGAAGGATGCGAATGAAAAGGTGCCAGTCTGGTGCAGGAATTACAGCATACCCTGCCACCTTGTGGTCAGGAGAGGTTACTGCATACTAAACTCGAGCTGGTTTCCTTCATAATCCATAGCCATAATCTCTGGACCAATTTTAACTGAAATATTTTATCAAGTGCTACAAAGCAAAAATAAAAACACATAACTAAAATGTCTTCCTTACTTTCAGAAAAAGAAATGTCAAATGCTAGAATCCAGGAATTTTTTAAAAATCTGGCAAAAATAGTCAATTATATTCTTTTTGCTTTAAATAAACTGAGCAATGGCTGCACTTAGGATGAATGTGATTTCATCCAGGATAAAAGATCTTCCAGAATGAATTCACTTGTTCTCCCAGCTCTTCTTCCCTTTCTATCTTTAGGTGAGGCCAACCATGCTTTTAGAGACAGGGTCTCTCACTGGCTTAGAACTTGACAAGCAGGCTAGGCTGGCTGGTGACCTTCAGGAACCCACTGTTTTTGCCTCCCCAGGGATAGAACCACAAGCACATATCATCATGCCTGGTGTTTTTGGAAATGGGTTCTAGGGAGCAACCTTAGGTCCTCACTACCAACTCTCCAGCTCTTGTTATTGCTATTTCTAATCAAACGATCAAATGTCCATAGCATTCATATACATTTTAGGAAAATGCTATAATCTATACAGAATACCATGATGTGTGTGTGTGTGTGTGTGTGTGTGTGTGTGTGTGTAAGGTGTATATATGTATGTGTGTTCTGTGTGTCTTGAATGCACAAGCCCTAGCTTCTGTGTCTCCCCTCCCTGATTGTCTGCTGAACTTTGATGTGTGTGTGTGTGTGTGTGTGTGTGTGTGTGTGTGTGTGTACACAGATAGAAAGGTATCCAGTACAATCTATATTCTTCCCCACTATTAAAATCACAGAAAGAATTTTTTCCTGAAATTATGCAGAATGTGCAGTACTGAAGAACTTAATTTAGTGAATTATCATTTACTATTCTCGACTCTAGTTTCTCCTAATACATTACTGAATGGATTATCAAATCCTTGTATTATTCTTACAATGTTTAAAGTCTGTGTTTGGGGCTGGAGAGATGGCTAAATAGTTAAAAGCACTTGCTACTCTTCCAGCAGACCTGAATTTGGTTCCCAGCATCCATGTCAGATGACTCATAAGTGCCTGTAACTCCAGTTTCAGGGGATCTGACACCCTCTTCTGGACTCTGCGGGCACCTGCAGTCACATGTGCACATACCCCCATCCCATTCCATCCCTCATATACACATAATTAAAATAAAATATATTTTAAAATCTTTTAAAAAAGACTTTGAGGTATTTATTTGATCCAGTGAGATGGCTCAGCAGGTAAAGGAGCAAACCTGGAGCCCTGAGTTCCATTCTGGAACCTGCATAGAGGTAGGAGAGACCTGACCCCACAGAGTTGTCCTCTGACCTCCACATGCATACTGAGGCAGTGGCATACCCACACATATCACATACACAAACAATAACAATAATAAATGCTTTTCTACAAGTTTGTATTTATGGATTCAGTCTGTGCCTTGGGATCTTACTAAGATAAAACAGAAATAAGTTTAGCACTTCACACATTTTGTTGAAGGTGCTGATGAAAATGATCAGCATCTCAAATGAACTCAAAATACCAGACAAATTCAGATCCTTGTGAAAGTAATAAACTTAGAGACAAAATACCCGTAGTTCCTGTTGTAGTGGACTTTCACAACCTTGATTTCAAAGGGAAGGAGCGACCCATTAGTATTGGTTTTTTTCCTGCCCGTGACATAATGAATACCTGGCAAAAGCAACTTAGGGAAGGAAGAGCTTGTTTCAGTTCACAGAGTCAGGATACAGTCCATCATGACTGGAAGGCACGGCAGCAGGAGCAGGAGGCAGCTGGTCATGTTGCTTCCACAGTCAGGAAGCAGAGAGAGCTGAATGCTGGTGCTCAGCTCACTTTCTCCTTTTTATACAATCTTGGACCCCAGGCCCTGGAATGGTACTTTGTTGAGGGTGCATCTTCTCACCTCAGTTAACCTAATCTAGAATCTCTCACAGACATGCAGAGGCTTGTTTCCAGGAGAGTCTAGTCCTGTCAGGTTGGCAGTAGGTATTAACCATCATCCTGTCAGTCCATCAGTAGCTTAGAATGCTGAGAGCTGGAACATTCCGATGTAGTGAACAGCATGGTATTCCTGCTTCATGTTCCAACCATGAAACTCATGACATCGCTGTATCAGGACCAAGATCAGCAAGTATCTATCTGAGCATTCATTCACTCAGTCATCATTCATCATTCATTCATTCATTGATTCATTCATGTCTTCAAATTCTACCTTTCCAACTTGTCCCAGTTCTGGTACACAAAGGGGATTCAAAAGATGACACAGGAAAATCAGGAAAGACAAGAGTAGTACCTGAAGGCAGGCTGATGCGGTGGCCATCTTTGAGCCTCAGCCGCCCCCTCCGGAACCTTCCCTTCCTCTTTTTCACTTGTGGTGCCTCCTGGCTGAGCTGGAAGATGAGGATGTTGAGCTCCCGTTCCAGCACGTCGATTTCGCGCTCTGCAAGCTGCTGTTCCCGGCGTCTGAGCAGCTCTTGTTGGGATTTCTGCTGCAGTGCTGCTCGAGTCAGTTCCTCCTCCCGGGAACGCAGCTCCTGAAGTAGAGACGCATCCAGCAGTCAGTCCCTCAGGGGATCAGCATCTAGGGCTTCCTGCCTGTGCTGTGAGCAGACAGGAGTCCCTGTCTCTCAGCCCTTCACAGGGAACACACTGCAGCCAGGATAATGGCCTGAGCTGCAGACTACCAGGCCTACTGCCAACCTAAGGGACGACAGCACCCAGCCTGGATCCCTTTTCCTCTGGCATCCCTCATTTTCATATCTGAGGTTATCATTGCTGTCTTCATCTCTAGCCTTTATGATCACCTAACAAACGATATCTACACTCAGCAACAAAGTACAAGTGTGAATGGCTTATTTTATTTTTGTTTATTTATTTATTTTGAGATAGGGTAGCCCAGATTGACCTCAAATTTAGCATAAAGCCAAGGATGACCTTGATCTGCTCCTCTTAACCTCTACCTCCCAAGTGCTAGGATTACTGGCCATGGACTACCATGCCTGGTTAATAAGGTTCTGGGTATCAAACCCAGGACTTCGCATATGCCAGGCAAGCACGCTACCAACTGAGACACATCCTCAGCCCATGAATGACCCATTTTAAAATAAAGTCCACAGATACAGCTTAATGAGTTAAAGGATAATTATCCTACCAATACAAGACTATATAGTTCATTATCCTTTTAGGAAAAAAGTTCTTTACCAGACAAAGTTTTAAAACCATCTTCCCATTTCTCCAAGGTGTTCTCTTGCTTAAAGAGACAAATATTTTGGTCCTTGCTTCCACAAAGATCCTGCTGTTAGAACACCCTGCACTGCATAGAAATCAGAGCACATGCATCTCCACAGTCACCGCTCAGATGCACTCAGTCTTAGCACAACCTCACACTCAGCTCAGGCAGAAACTGCGGAGGTTTCTTAGGTGGGACTGTGAATTCTGATAGGAAACCACTGTCCATCAACTGGACCAAATTGACAGAGACAGAGACAGAGCATTCACGAGATGAAGAAATGGATCCATTCAAACAAAGGGATTCTCAGTTTGTGGTAGTCCTACCAAAGGGGACTGAAATTCAGTTCAGAAGCATCGTAGCTTGGTTTGTTCCTCCAAATAAGTATGTGAACACGAGCGCAGGACAGATGGCCAGCTCTGCCTCACTGACATTTCAATGACTTCTGCTAATGTGTGCCAACTGGCTTTGATTTACAGAGTGGATCAGAATCTCTTTACTGGTGTGTCCCAGGTAGAAATTGCTGCTTATTACTTGAAAAGAAAAAGAAATGTACATTTTAAAAAATTTGTAATGTATATTTTTAAGATAGGGTTTCATGTAATCTAGCCTGGCCTTGAACTCACGATGTCACTGAGGTTGGCCTTGAATTTCTGATCCTCCTGTCTCCAATTCCTAAATGATGGGATTATAGGTGACGTCAGCAGGCCCAGAGAAAAGTCAGACTTCCATTTTGAAAGCATTTAAATTTTTTTTTCCCTTTTTACTACCTATTGTAAGAATCACTCAGTCTTGACACTTAAATCCTACAGTTTCAAAACTAGTTATCAATAATTAAAATAAAGTCAGTAACTTTCTCTAACTAGTTAGTTCACATTGGAGATTTGACTATAGAGTCCCTGGGAAGGGGTTATTTCCAACTTATTGTGAGTGTCTATCCTTTTGTTCGGATGAGTTTTCGGTAGCGTTGGTGTTAAACACTACTGTTAACTGAGTTGGAAGAAAAATTGGGACAGCAAGTTACAAGTGTCTTTCTACAGGAACTGAATAAGAAAAGACTTTAATTCTAGGTCTCAATCTAAAGTATTCATCTCCTTGCAACAACTTAAAGAATAATTTTTAGATAGTCTTTCTAAGAGATAAAAACATGATCAGAGAGAAAGGAGCCAAAGCCAGGTCAATTGAATAGATTTTAAAATTCAGAAGTTGGGCTGGGGAGATGGTTCAGTCAGTAGAGTGCTTGTTGTGTGAGCATGGACCAGAGTCCAACACCCATGTAAAAAGCCAGGTATGGTGGTGCTCACTTGTAATCCCAGCACTGGGAAGTAGAGGGGTGGAGGCAGGCAGATTCCTGGGGCTTGCTAGTCAGTCACCCTAGCCAAATTGGTGAGCACCAGGTCCAGTGGGAGACCCTGTCTCAGAACAATATGGTAGAGGAAGACACTTGAGGTTGACCATTGACCTCTACACACACACACACACACACACACACACACACGTAACAAACAACAAAATAAAATTCAGAAGAGAGAGGAGAGGAAGTATTCTGGGGTATTAGAACCCTTCTGAATACTTTGAAATAATGAAGCATATAACAAGCTCCATTCTGTCAAGATTAAAGGTAGGAATATTCATCTAATGGCTCAGCACAGGCTGTTCAGATAGTGGCAGATTCAGGTAGTGCCAGTTTCCTGGCAGAAGAGGTTAGTTGTTAATGACCACAAGCCTCCCTCAGGGCCCCAGAGCCAGGTGCACACACACAGGAGGTCTAGGACAGACAGTGATAAGAGCCAGAACATAGGGAGGATTTGCTATCTACAGAGCTGGGGCTGAGTAATGGGGATGAGAGCCAAGGACTGACCATTAACTCAGTCTGAGGCCTCCTCCCTCAGCCAGTGAGCGGGAAAAGGAGATAGGGCACATTTGAGGGGCTTTCCACTCCTCCAGAAGACGCAACTGGAAACTTTGCAGCACAAAGAGAAACATATTTTTAAAAAATAGTACACATTTTGTAATCTCAAGTCACAAGGCCACATGTCATAGCAAGGGCTAGATTTGAAAAGCGACAAATAAGAAACAAAAAGACAAGCCAGACCCCACTGAAAAAAAGTCCATCAAAACATTATAAGGAAAATCATTATGCCTGGTGCTATATGTCTATAATCTCAGTACTTAGGCTAAGGCGGGAGGATTTCTGTGAGTTCAAAGCCAGCAGAGGCTACATAGTGAGCACCAGGCCAGCCTGGACTATAAAGCAAGATGCCATCTCAAAAAAGAAAAAAAGAAAAAGAAGAAAATGGAAAGTTAGCATCAACCTTAAAACAGAAAAGTCTGACTTCCATTCTGCAAGCATTTATTTTATTTTTATGCTACATATCATGAGAATCACTTGGTCCTTACACCTAAATCCAGAAGTTCCAAAACTAGTTATCAACAATTAAACAAAAACAGCTTATAAGAATAGCTGTTCTTAATAACATCACTTCCACTCTCAAATTTCATGATTTGATACCTCTTTCCTTCAAAAATTCTCTGTTACTCCTTTACATGATATTTATGTTTATTTTCAAACATCAGATTTTAGAATTCTTGAAAGTAAATTATACAACTATACCAAGAAACAAGTGTTTCTCCTCTCACTTTAAAGCAATAAAAGCATATGACTATTTCCAGGCAAGCTATGGAGGACCTTCATGAGAGCTGTTGCTCAGAGGGGTAAAGCCAAGCTGAGTAATGACCTTCTTATCCTCTCCTTTCAGCTGGTTTCTAAGGCCTGGATAGGCAGAGTGGGCACCTATGTGGTCCTAGGTCAGTGAAGCTCCATTCTTTCTCCTGAAGTGGATGCTTGTGGAACACTTATGAAGCAGGAACTGTGCACTGGGCACCACTGGGGAGGCTCAGCCTCACCCAACCTCCATCTGTGACGCCCTAGGAGTGAGGAGTACCAAGAGGGATGAGGGATGTGGGAGTGGTGGCCACTCTGAAGCACCCAGTCAAGCCCAGAAGCAGCCAGGCTCTGGGGCACGAGCTCTGCATCCTCAACTTGGTGCAGATGCTGGCAGGTCCCATACAGGCATCCTGGTTATTCTGTCTGAGCTCCACAGAGGGAGGCTGAACGCTAGCAAAGCCCTGTGATGGAGTACCAGTTCTTGGGGTACTCATGCGAACCCTACTTCTGAACCCTGGGAAAACAGGCAGTGTGTTTACGCCTATCTCAAAGTCCTATGGGGTACAAATTTTTTTCTGGATATATCTTCACCAAGGTGATTCAAAACCTGAAACACAGTGCTTACTGTGTTAGAAATATACATGCACAAGGGTGTGTCATTGCATGTATATCAAAACTGAAACTATTAGACAGTTATATACTGTAGACAAAAATAAACCCAGATTTATGAAAAATGTTCAAATACTGCAAAGATGTTTTCAAGAGAGTAAGCACTACCAGTGCACTGCAGAGTCACGTCTGGAATCTGGCTATTCCAGCACCACTTGGTCACTGTCCCAAAGAGACCAGGCTAGCTTAACTCACACCCTCACTAGTCTACCTGGCTCTTCCAATTTGCGATGCCTTGTGCGTGTAGTATGGTTAGTGCCATGTGTGCGCCTCACACCGCCTTATTTGCTTTCCTTTGTAAAATCTATAGGCCCAGCACTCATCACTAGTGAAGAGTTCAAATTTTACACATTTCCTGGTCTCCCCTACAAAGCAATGGCCTTAGGAACAGGAGGAATGGATTGCCAAGGACCAGCATCTTTGAAGTATCCTGATGATTAAGAAGAATACCTGATTCTGATTTGCAAAAGCCAAACATAAAAAGGCACCTTAGTGGATATGACTATGGATTGAGCATGAAATGACAGGATTTGATGTGAGATTATATGAGATGATACAGAAGCATTGCTGTGGAGGTCTCAGGTATGTCCAGCTCTTGGACCATGGACTGCATGCAGCTAAGGATAGCTATGAACATATACTAACACAAAATCCTAAACTTACTTAAAATATTGTAAGTAGGTTTTTTGTAACTCAACTGCAGGGTTTTGGAGTGAATTTCGGAGATGCCAATGCCCTATTGTCAACAGGTTGGGAAAGTCAGCATGGTGATGGCAAAAAAGTTACTTTTCCAAAAATTTTCAGGTAAAGAAACATATGGAGGGCCAGAGAAATGACTCAACAGGTAAAAGCCCTTGCTGAGCAAAACTGAGGACCTGAGTTCAGTCCCTAGAACCCACAAAAAGCTGGATGTGGTGGTGACTAGTATCTTGATCTCAGGACTCCACAGTGAGATGGGATGTGGCTACAGGAGAAGCTTCTGGAAGTCCACGGGCCAGCTAGTCTGAACTACTCTGCCTAAACAGAGTAGAAGGAGAGAACCCACTCTGAAAAACTGCCCTCTGACCTCCATGTGTGTGCCATGTACATGTACATTCTTGTTCACAGACACACCATACACACACACTATATACCGCATATATCATACACCACACAGACATAAATATACATACCATATATACACACAAGTCACACACACAACACATACCATACACATAAATACCATATATATACAGCCAATATATACAAAGGGTCATTAAGCTGTTTTTCTTTTAAATCTCCCTTTCATTAAAAAATTCCTTGATGAAAGTTTCTCTCCCAGTTCCCTGTTTTGAGCATTCTTTATCTGAAGGAAAACAAGCATGGATAGACTCTGGCATTGGAAACACTGCAGAGCACTAATGGTCCCCCACCCCCACCCCAGGCTGGGCTCCCTGTCATTTTCAAGCACGTGTGAATACAGTACAGTGAAACTCTCACCTTCTCCTTGGTCCTCAGCTCACTGAACATTTGCTGGATCTCCTGTTTCCAGTCGTCCTGCATGGAATGGAAGGACTCCGGGGGCATTTCACTTGTGAGGGACCCTTCAATTGCAGTCAGCTGTTGAAGAATTAAGGCAAACGAGGGACGGATATGAGGGTCTTGTTCCCAGCATTCTACAACAAACAAGAATCATATTAATTTTCTCTTAGGTGTAGCAAAGATGATCTCCAACCCTAGAAGAGTTCCCAAGATGTGTTCTCAGTTTAACACTTGTCACTCTAAACCAGAAGCCCACTGCTACAATGGCAGCTCCTGAGTATCTTAAGGGCATATCAACAAGTGTCAGAGCCCTTCATTTCCCCAGTACCCCGTTGGAGGCTTGTGGAGTAATTACAATGGGGTAAGGCACTGCCATCGTGCAATTCCACACTTAATACACAAATGTGAGCTTTCTGTGCCATAGCATGAACCCTGGGTTGCAGAGGTCTAGCTGCTGTAAACAATACATTTACTCATGCACAATTATATACACGTAAAATATAATCCCCCGAACCAAAGTCTGTAAAATGTTATAATTACAAGGGAAACTCTAAGAAATAACTTCATCCTGGGCACAGTGGTTCAAATCCTAACACTTGGAAGGCTGAGGCAGGATTCAAGCTAGCCTTGACTACATGCTGAGTTCAAGGCTAGTCTAGGCTATACAGTGAGTTCCAGACCAACCTGGGCTACATAGTAAGTTTGCAGGCAGCCTAGTATACATAGTTTGAAGCCAGTGTAGGCCACAGAGTGAGTACAAGGCCAGCCTGGGATACAAAGTGAGTTCCAGGTCAACCTGGGCTACATAGTAAGTTTGAGGGCAGCCTGGTATACATAATGAGTTCGCAGCCAGTATGGGTCAGAGTGAGTTCCAGGCCAGCCCCGTACACATAGTAAAACCCTGTCTCAAAACAAAACAAAACAAAACAAAACCCAAAAAACAATAAAGCAACAACCAAAACCCAATGAGGTAGACCTGTAGCTCATAGAGTTAGCAAGCAGTCCTCAAAGATAAAAATCTGATCCACAAATTCACGGCACAGTCACACTGGTGAGGCCTGTAAGATACTTCTGATCACTAAGTGGAACTTCAAGTGACCGATCTGGAGACACTCAGGGCTGTGCTGTGACTCTGCTGGGCAGCAACAATTTTATTACTACTGAGCTGAGTTCACACAGAAGGGAGCCTCTGCTGGAACAACTGACCTTTAGTTACACAGCTCACTGGAACCATGCCTCGCCTTTAACAGCAGAGGCCAGTTTTCAGGACCTTAGAACAGCACAGTAATTTAAAAGCGGTGGGAATTTTTTTTTTTTTTTTTTTTTTTTTTTTTTTTTTTTTTTTTTTTTTTTTTTTTTTTTTTTTTTTTTTTTTTTTTTTTGAGCTAGTGTCTCATACTAACCTAAGCTGGCCTGGAACTCAAAGTAGTCCTCCTACGTCAGCCTCTTGAATGCTGGGATTACTGACATGAACTACTGCACCTATCTTGATGTGGCTTTATTTTATTTCTTCACATTTATGTACTTACGCATTTATGCCTTTACGTGTGTGTCTGTGTGTGTGTGTCTATGAGCATGTGTGCCTGTGTGCCTATGTGCGTGGAGGGCAGAGGACAACCTGCAGGAACTGAGCCTCTCTTTCCACCATGTGTGCCCCAGGGATGACACACAGGTTGCCAGGCTTGGCAGCAGGTAACTTCACCTGCTGAGCCGTCTCTCCAGCCCTGACCTTGCTTTTATTTTTAAAAGACTAAAGGTGCTTGCTCCCATGGGTGACTTTGCTTGCCCCGAGACACTCGAGAGCAGAGCTTCACCATACACCATACCTTTCATGAGCCTGGCAAATGGCTCTGGACAGGTGGATGGGATGGGTAGTGTGAGCTTGTTGACCGCTACCCCATATGCCACGGCCAGTCCATCGATGCCACGGTAAGGGACCTCACCTGTCAGCAGCTCCCACAGCAGCACACCATAACTGGAAGGAAAGTTCCCGTAAGTGACATGGGCCACTGAGCATGCCCCTCCCCTGAGAGGACTGCTCTCTTAAGGTGGGAGGTGGCTCTGCCCTGAACAGCTCAGCACACCTGCAATCCCAGAACTTGGGAGGCTAAAGCAGACAGATCATGAGCTCCAGGCCAGCCTGGGCTACGCAACAAGGCCTGCCTCAAAATATTCCCCAAAGATCTGTCACTCCAGGTGATTAATCTGGTTTTAAACTGAAAGACAGAATCGTAAAGGAAGTATATTGTTTTGAGTTTCTATGTTCCCAGGCTGCCCTCAGACCCTGGGCTTAAGTCATCTCCCACCTCAGCCTCCTGAGCATCTGGACTCCAGGGTGTACCACCAAACATCTCTCCTAAACAGAAGCATTTAATAAAAGTTTGGATCATCAAGCTTTACAAAACTGAGGCTAAATTACAAGTGGATTTTAGAGAGGGCCTGTTTTCTGGCTGTATTTGGAAGTTTTAAAGCTTTCACTTTTCCTGCTTCCTGACTCTCCTCTGTTAAACAACACAGTGTAGCACTTTTCACACTTTGTAACCACACATCATATAACAGATGTGGAACAGGGACCAGGGACTAGTCTTAAGACATTATTTCAGGGCCTGGATAGATGACACTGTGGTTAAGAGCACTAACTGCTCTTGTAGAGGACCAGGGTTCAAATCCCAGCACCCATGTCTGCTAACAACTGTCCATAACTCCAGTTCCGGGGGATCCAATGTCCTCTTCTGACCTTCAGGGTCATTGGTGGTTATTATATAACATAGGTGCACTTATATACATGCAGGGAATATACCCATGCACATTAAACAAACTCAATTAAAAAAATTAAAAGACTTTTTTGATGTAAAATTAATTTATGGTGTAGTTTGGTGGTTTTTAGAATCTTGATGGATAGTTTCTTAGCCAATTTCAGTTCTATAACTTGGTATTTTCATAAAATAGAAATTATTCCAATTAACTCAATGAAAAAAACCTCATTGTTTTATGAAAAACACATGCTCAGCCTCTGCCAACATAGTCTAATTTGTTAAGCAGTCATATTTGGCTCTTAAAATTTTCAAACTGACCCTAAGATACTACAGATTCTTTGACTCAATCAATTTCTTTAATTCCTCTTCAAACTGTTTTCTTTCCATAAAGTATATTTTTTATTTGGTTTCAAGTAGGTTTCCACATGGCTTTCACATACCTCCATTATTTTTGGTTAATTCTCTCCTCACCCCCTTGCGTCCCCTACTCCCCCACTCCTTACTTAACCCTTTCCACCCCCAGTTTCCCCTTCTCTACTTTCATATTACCCACTTTCCACTAGTTCCCCACCATATGGCACCCCTCCCCATGGCCTCTTCCTGCTTCCACAAGAACTCTAAGTTGAATACACAAAATGAGAGATTTAAAGCTAGAACCCACACTTGAGGGAGAACATGTGATATTTGTTTTTCTTACTTGGTTACCTCACTCAATATAATTTTGTCCAGTTCTATCCCTCTATCTGCAAGGCAAATCTGCCAAGCAAGATGCACCCAGTTGTGTAGTAGTGACTGTTAGGAGGGTGACCATTTACTCTCTGATTGGATTTAAGGCCCTCTCCACAGGAGAGAATCCATTCCCAGTACTGTAAACCTGGTCAAAACTCCATGTGGGGAGCTCATAGGCCCTAGCGGGAAACCGAATACTATTTTTTAGCTAAACTGATATAGCATCAGGCTGTCTTTTAAATATTTTGGTATATCCATGGCCAAATGATACTCTCAGCCTTAATCATGGAAGCCTCTCTTTCCAGTGAACAGTGGTGAATGCAGAGACTCATGGTGCCACAAAGTGCTAAGAATGAGTGGAGTCTCTGCTCTAATCAAGACATGTACACCCCTATGGAGACATCTCTATCACCCCACCTAAAGCTCAGGGAGCTCTGCAGAAGAGAGGACAGAAAGAATGCAAGAGCCGGAAGACAGGAGAAGGTTGTGAAACACCATCTTCCAGGCAAGACACAATCACTGTAATCAGGAACTGACAGCCACTGTAGATGTCTGCACTGGGTCTGCACAATGGGCCTGTCAATAGTCAGGCATGAGTAAGAGAGGTACCCATGGCAGGCTGAACTATTTGCTACTGATAGATTTATGGAGAGGAGAATCATTGCCTCCAGTTGTATCCCCATTGATGACCCTTCTAGGCTCCAGTGGATAGTTCCAATTCAAAGGTCACACAGATGGTCCTGGTTAAACTAAAAAGGTTACAAAACACAACAACATTCATGAATCTGGTAGGGATGGCAGGGGTTGGTAGGGATGGGAGAAAGGTGAGAGAGGGTGGTGGTGTGCTAGATACGTTGAGTTAACTTGGGTTGAGGGAGCCTCAGTTGAGGACTTTCCTCCATTGGACTGGCCTGTGGCTATGTCTTTGGGACATTTTCTTGATTGTTGAGAGATGTGGGAGAGCCCAGCTCAATGCGGGTGGTGCCACCCCAGGCAATTTGTACTGTATTGTATAAGAAAGCAGGCTGAGCATGGGCCAGAGCAACCAAACCAGAAAGCATCCTTCCTCCATTTCCTCCATGGCCTGGCCTGGGCTTCAACTTCTGTCTCCAGGTTCCTGCCCTGAGTTCCTACCTTGGGCTCCCTCAGTGATGAATTGTGATCCAGGAGATGTAAGCCAAATAAACTCCTTCCTCCCCAAGTTGGTAATGGTCAGAGTGTTTGTATCATTGCAAAAGAGTAGATAACAGAGCTGGAGAGATGGCTCAGTGGTTAAGGACACTGTTCTTGCAGAAGACCCGGGTTCGATTCCCAGCACCCACATGGCAGCTAACAACTGTCTGTAACTCCAGTACTAGGGGATCGGACAGTGTCTTCTATCCTCCACAGGCATTGCACGACACGGGTGCACTTACCAAAAAAGCAGGTATAATACTCATATACATAAAATAAAAATTCCCAGCACCTGCATGGTGGCTATGAACTGTACTTAACTCCAGTTCTAGGGGACTCTGAAGCCCTCTTCTGACCTCCGTGGCATTGCACGACACAGATGCACTCACATACATGCAGGCAATACACTCATGCACGTAAAAAAATAAAAATAATAAATAAAACGAAAAATAATAAAAAAATATTTTTTTAAAAAAGAGAAGATAACTAAAACAGTGTGGGTTGAGAGTGGTCTGACTATAATAAACACAAGTAAGAAACTGTCACTAAACACAGACAATGTGCAAGCAGAGGATCTGGGCAGATGGCTCAGTGGGTAAAGTGCTTTGTAAGTATGAGGACTTGTGATAAAGCTGGACAAAGTAATGTGCACATCTATAATCCTACCAGTCCCACGTTGAAATAAGAAGTGTAGATCAGAGATCCCAGAAGGCTTGTAGGCCAGCTAGTGGGGCCTACACAGCAGGGAACAAGACGCCCTGACTCAAACAAGGTGGACGGTGAGGACTGATACCTTAGATTGTTCTCTGACCTCCACATGCACAGTGTGGCACACCCAGGAACACACACATGTAACCCCCTCCCCACTACAGGTTATAAGCAGAACAGTTTAATCCTATTTAAATGTAGATGATAAGCTTTATATGAAAAGCAATGGTGGTTTACCTGACAGGAATCTGTCCTTGACTTTGTATGTAAAACTGAGGTACTTGCTAGCTCACCCAAAGATTAAAGTATTAATCATGATTTTTGGAATTAGATATATTTGGATATAAAGAAAGGTTCTCTTGCTTATCAGACACACTAGCTTTCTCATCACCATGTCAAAAGACTTGGAAAGACATTTCTGTTCACAGTTTCAAAGAGCTTTATCCATCATGATGGGGAAGCCATGGGAGGCAGCTGGGATCACCTCACAATGTGTACCACCCACACCCAGCTTTATAGATGTTGGTAGATAGGGATCTCTCTCTCTCTCTCTCTCTCTCTCTCTCTCTCTCTCCTTCCTGGCTGCTCTGAGGTGAGCAGCATTTTCCCACCATGACCTCACCATGATGCTCTGCCTCACCACCAGCCCAAGGAACAACAAAGCTAACTGCTCATAGGATGAAAACTCTGAAACTGCTTCAAAAATAAACCTTGCCTTCTTATAAGTTGATTATCTTGGGCATTTTATTGCAGCCACAGAATGCTGACTAACATGGAAAACCGTACCAAGAAGAGGGTTCGTTGCTACGGCAGAGTCTGGCAATGTGGTTCAGAAGCCCTTTTGGAATCTATTTTTCAGGAGAAACCTAGAGAAAGCCTAGAATGCTGGAAACCCAAGATCAATGGGCAAGTCTAGGGAGGAGCTGGAAGATGCCACTGAAAGTCTGAAAGTAATGTGGACAGTACAGGCTGTTCTCATGAGCACTCTTGGGAATCGTGATAGAAGCCACAGAACTATGGATTATCATCCATGTCCTGAGACTTTGAGAGAGGCTGAAATTTGAAGGTAGGAGACTAATCTGGCAGGAAATTTCAAGACAGCATGGTGTTAGGTTTTGGTGGTTATTGCTGGCTGCTTTTAGCAATGAGAATAGGAGTAAAAAGCAGTGGAAAGATTTGAAGAACTTGACAGTTTATCCAGAAAAGGAGTGCTTTAGAGTTGCAGACAGGCCTAGTTGTTAAAGAGATTAGCAGTATTAAAAAGAAGTATGATGCACTAGGACAATAGGGAGGGTGCTTGAGGGCATCTCAGCAACCGGTAAAACATACCCACTTCAGCTTAGAAGACAGAAGAGAAGACCAGACCACACAGCTTGTTCACAGACATTAAGAAACAGTTTCCCTGGTATTTGTTTCCCGATGTCCAGCTGTCCAGGGACTCAGAGGCTGCTGGTGGTTCTGGAAGGCCTGGTACAGCTCATGTTCCTGGAAGATTTGGGTACTATTCAGGGGATGGTGGTTTTTCAGGCCTGCAGAATGCATAATGTGTGGAATTATAGAAACTTCCACCAAGGTTTCAAGGGAGGCCAGGTAGAACGTGGCAAGGGTTGTAGTCCCAGAGGAGACAAAGTGTGGGGCTGGGAAAGTGTCTTCACACTGTAATGGACACCTAAGGAAGCTGGAGATGCCAGCAAGGGAAGACATAGGCAGCAAGCAGAGCTGACTCAGGAGACAGGACATGTGGGTAGCAGCCCACAGAACCACATAGACACAGCTGCCAGGCCACAGCCTACCAGCATGTGTTCTGGATGCCAGACACAGACATATGTAATACACACACACACACACACACACACACACACACACACATGTATATAGATGATAGAGGATATATTAGATTACATGATAATGGTGGTTTTTCAGGCCTGCAGAATGCATAATGTGTGGAATTATAGAAACTTCCACCAAGGTTTCAAGGGAGGCCAGGTAGAACGTGGCAAGGGTTGTAGTCCCAGAGGAGACAAAGTGTGGGGCTGGGAAAGTGTCTTCACACTGTAATGGACACCTAAGGAAGCTGGAGATGCCAGCAAGGGAAGACATAGGCAGCAAGCAGAGCTGACTCAGGAGACAGGACATGTGGGTAGCAGCCCACAGAACCACATAGACACAGCTGCCAGGCCACAGCCTACCAGCATGTGTTCTGGATGCCAGACACAGACATATGTAATACACACACACACACACACACACACACACACATGTATATAGATGATAGAGGATATATTAGATTACATGATAGATAGATGATAGATAGATGATAGATGATAGATAGATGATAGATAGATGATAGATAGATAGATGATATACATGTCTGCTGAGTTTCAGTCTGACTCCTTCTCACTATCTTCCTATTCTTCCTTTTCAGAAAGGGACTGTGTCATGTGCATTGTGTCCTGGGAATATATAGTTTTCTTTTTCGTTAAGGGGTCACAACTAAGAGTCTGCCTTGAGAGTAGGGGTGAAAGCTCAGTTTCTAAGGAGTCTGTCATGAGGACCTAAGTTTGGATTCCCAGCACCCATATAAAAAAGCTGGGCATGGTCACATGTGCCTTTAACCCCAGCACTGGGAGATGGAGACAGGTAGATCTCAGGGGCTCGTTGGCCAGCCAGTCTAGACAGTCAGGTTCAGTGAGAGACCCTGTCTCAAATGACAGGATAGAGAATGAAAGTGGAAGATGACACTGATGTCTGGCCTCCACATGCATGCACACATATGCACGTGTACTCACATATCCATTTACTAATAGACACAGACAGACGACAGACTCACACACACACACACACACACACACACACACACACACACACACACGCACACACACACACACAAAACAAAACAAAACAAAACAAAAACAAAAACTTTGCCTTGAGTCTAAGGAGAGGCTTTGGACTTGGGACTGTAGAATCCTTGGGGATTCCTCTTACTTTGTATTAGGAGATGGGCATGAGCCTCTGTGGACCCAGGGAAGAGGACTACTGGATGGATTCAATGTCCCGCTAGAGCTAACATGTTGAAGCTTCGGTTCCCAGCCTGTGGTGCTACTGGGAGGCAGCAGACTCCTGAGGAGATAGGCCTCATGAGAGGAGGATGAATCATAGAGACATGCTCTTGAATGATACACTGGGACCTTAGCCCCTTCTCCTCTCTGCTCCATTGTTGTCAGAAGGAAGCTGTCTTACCTTGCTATGATCATCCTGCTGAGATGGTCTGCTTTACCACATACACAAAGTAATGGGGCCATCACACAACTCTGAATTAAGACCACTGAAACTCTGAATCCAAACAAAGCTTTCCTCATCTAGGTTTCCCAGAGATTGTATCACAGAGACACAGAGATGAGTAACAACAACCCCACTGACCTCACAGTCTCAATTCAAATCACTCATAAACAACTTGCTGCTCATGTTTGGAATCACCAAGTCCTGCAGGACTCCAGGGACTAAGCACAGCAACCAGAGGCAGCTGCAGATAGGCAAAGCAAGGGTGTACGCTCACCTCCAGATGTCGCTGCCCTTAGAGAACAGCGAGGACCTGATGACCTCAGGGGCCATCCAGGCGTAGGTGCCCGCTGCACTCATCCTGGTGGTCCTGTGCCACTCCCGTGCTAGCCCGAAGTCCGTGATCTTCAGTGTCTTGTTACATATGTCGTCATGATCTATCTTCTCCAGCAGCAAAACTGCAGGAGAACCAAAGGACAGGCCTTGACATGCCTCCAATTCCCAGTTACTGTTCTCCTAAAAGCATTTTGTTTTATAGTTTTTACAGCAAAATCTTTCAAAACTTTGTTTTTAATTATTGACAATATCCTACTTGTATACAATACACTGTGATTACATTCCCCACCCCTCTCCTTTTTGTTTACCACAGCAGGGATTGAACCTAGAGCTTTCTGCATGATAGGCTCTGCCACATAGCCATGTAACCAGATCTTTCCTGAAGCTTCTAAAACACAATTTCATTGTAGCCACCAAGGTCAAGTAGACCTAATTTGCATTCTGCTATTTTATTTAACTTACAGCAGTATGTGGACCGGGTCCAGGCACAAGTTTTAAGAAAATCTTTAAGACTGGTGCAGCTTAGGTAGAAAGTCAATGATTTCTAGGGGTGAGAAACCTTTATGGAGATATCACAGGTAGAATCTGTAGTCAAAGTTAATGTGACATGAAAAAATATACTGTTTTCCTCCAAGAAATTCTTTCCCAATCAAAGTGGAACATCATTACTACTGGATACATGACAGAGCATCTCCATAATATATTAACATAGATTATTAGCAAATGTTGACTTCTGATCTGTACTCCCACTCCCCAGACATGAACTCATGAACATAATTTAGGAGATAGCATTGCTTTACAGAAGTTTAAAACACAGGAGAGAGTAAAAACTTTAAAGGAATACCACCCACCTCCTGACAACTACTCATTTACTATGCTGGTTTGCTGGTTTTCTTTTTACTTAATATTCCTCTGTAATTATGTATAAACAAACCCTAGAAACTATACTCTATCATTTCCTCAAGTTCCCCATATCACCTAACACTGTATCTTACATGCCACAGTATTCTCTGGGCTATCATCCACCAGTAACATTATTCTAACAGTTAGAATGCCAGCCACCATCTCCCACTGGGCAGAGCTGTTTCCACATTATTTCATCCCTCATTGTGTCAGTCTGTTAGGGGATAATTATAATTGCTAGATAACAGCCTAAAAATGTCACCCAAGATCCTAGGGCTATGAAGAGAGATGTGCTTGTGTGGTGTGGCTGATACCTCCAGTTTCATCATGGGCTGCTCATAAAACCTCCTGTTTCTTTCCATAACCCCTTGGGTATAGTAGTTCCTTTCTTCAGCTCTCTGTATTGCTTCAAGAACTCTCTGAAGGGCTGGTTTTGTGGACATGAATTCTTTCAAACTATTTATATTATGGCAGATTTTTCTTTCCCCTTTGACTATAATAGACATTTTGTCTGAAGTAATCTGGGTTGGCATCTGTGGTCATTTAGAACTGGGAATACTTTGGTCCAGGCTCTTCTGGCTTTCATAGTTTGCAATGAAAAGTCAGCTGTAATTCTGATGGGTTTTCCTTTATATGTGACTTGTTTTTCTTTTGTGGCTTTCAGTATTCTTAGTTTTGTACATTTAGTGTTTATACTATAATGTGCCATGGAGGGTTTCTTTTCTGGCCCTATTTGGTGTTTGTCTCACAATTGGCTAGTTCCTCCAAGGGGCCAGGCTTGCCGCAAAGCATGGACTATGCTGGTGTGGCTGACAGCCATCTTGGGACTGAAGTGGGGAGCCAGGAGGAACCGCCTGTGGCTGCTGGGGTGGAGAGAGAGATGGCCCCAGCACCTCATTTGCATGGACGCGAGAGGGGGCATTTACTGACCTGGGACTAGACTGCAGGCCCAAAATGCGTGGGCAAAAGTTAATGGAGACTATGTGGGGGGGGGTTGTGAGAGCATCTGGTTGTGGGCTCTGAGCCGTGGTGCAAGATTGCTTGTCTCTGTGTAAGTTCCCCAATTTACCCCCTCCCTACCCGAGGGCATAAACCATAATAAACTCACACAAAATATACAGTTTGTCTGATCGTGCAGGAGACCCAGAGGGAATTCGGGCGACAGTGTTCTATATGCTTCTTGTATGGGCATGTCTTTCTTTAATTTTGAGAAATTTTTTTCTACAATCCTGTGGAAGATCTGGTCCATACCATTATCCTGCGATTCTTCTCCTTCCTGCATGCTTATGATTCACAAGTTTGGTATTTTTATGGTGTCACACAATTCCTGCATATTCCATTCTTATGTTTTCTTAAATTTTTCATAATCTAGTTCATCCACTTTATCTTCCAGTCTTGATACTCTGTTTTCCATTTCATTCATTCCATTGCTGAGGCTTTCTCCTGTCATT